CCTTCTAGTAAAGTAAAGCAGAAAAGTTGTCCAAATATAAACAGTTAACTTATTAAACCTCACAATAATTTCATGCAGACCAACACGGCTACCTATCTGTAAATAATTTCATAATTATCTGTCAATTTATTTCTAATAGTATAGCCAAATCGGTAATTTTTTATATAACCGTAAAAACTACTCTGGAAATTTATTATTCCAAAAATGAAACCGTCATCTGCTTGTAAATATTAAGATTATACCAGCAAGAATGAGTCTTTCTGGGGGGAAAAAAGGATTTAAATCAAGTCTTACTGACTAGTGATTTAAATTGATTTGATTTAAATCAAATCCACCCTGTCTATGAGGCAGCTAGGTGCCTGTGTGAGGATATGTACTCCGGCTCAACAGATGTGCCATCCCAGCGAGCTAACTGTGTTACTTTTATTGTTGTTAGCCGCTCTGAGCCCAGCTTTGGCTGGGGAGGGTGGGATATAAATAAATTATTATTATCATCATCATCATCATCATCATCGTCCCAGACAAGCACTCCATGCCTTGCCTCTGCTCATTTGAGACCAACCTGCAGCTTCGTTAGCATCCCGGGGCTTTCAGTCGGGGGTCCAGGGATCACCTCGGGCTCCTCCTCCACTTCTTCGAAGCGTGGGATGCGGCGCTTCTTCACCCCTGAAGATTCCTTGGAAATCTCAGAGTCATCCCCAAAGACATCCTATAAGCAAAGAGGGCAGAGGAAACTTTGACAGTGACCAACACCTAGACAGCCAAGGAAGCACAAGCCAGCCGTAGTCACGTGACTAGTGGAGCCTTCACGTGGAACTTTCACAGCAAAGAATTATCCTTCCTACGACAGGCTAAAGGCTTTACACGTCAACAACCAACCCACAGCTTCTTGAGCACCTCATCTGCTTTCAGGTGAAACAAGTTTCTGGTCCTCATGAGTTCAGGCAAAATTGCAAGGGGGAAACACCATGTCCTATACACACACACACATACGGATTTCTAAAGCTTCACACAGCACTTTCTGAAAAGAAGAAGAAGAAGAAGAGTTTGGATTTGATATCCCGCCTTTCACTCCCTTTTTAAGGAGTCTCAAAGCGGCTCACATTCTCCTTTCCCTTCCTCCCCCACAAAAAACACTCTGTGAGGTGAGTGGGGCTGAGAGATTTCAGTGTGACTGGCCCAAGGTCACCCAGCAGCTGCATGTGGAGGAGTGGAGACGCGAACCTGGTTCCCCAGATTACGTGTCTATCGCTCTTAACCACTACACCACACTGGCTCTCCAGAAAGTTTGTTCTGGATACTTTTTTTGTTTTGTTAAGTCATTTTTATTAATTTTCCAATATAAAACATCCAATTAACATATCCAATCATAATGGATTATGCTCTGGATACTTTTAAGATGCAGTTAATCACTACAATATGCATTTGGTACAGTGGCTTAAAATAGGCATTTCTGCAAACACATTTCAGCTTCTGCTTTCTTCAGTCTAAGGAGCAGCCAAAGAATGTGAAAACTGAAGCATTTTGCTATAAAAGCATTAATATATTTTGTTGTTATTATCTATATAACACACACACACACAAATTTTTAAATGCATTCCTGTCAGCAGAGAAACCCTTTCACACATGGAGCAGTGTTAATCTAAACCTGCGTGAGATTTTATGTTCCTCCTCCCACCCTCCAAAATGAAAGCATTTTTGTGCTGAAGGAACATGGTCTCTCACAGCACCATCCATGTCCTCCTTACTCCACTGGGCCAAGGGGAGCAAATTCCTCCCTGCTGTGTCTCAAGAAAAGGGACATGGTTGATTGTGGGAAGAAGCTGCTATGATCTGCAAACAAAAACACGGCATGCATAGATACACAAATCCAAACCGCCTGCAAGCCTTAGCTGAACTGCCTTCATTGCTATTATGGGCCAAACCCTACATGGATGGCTCCTCATCCAAACAGGGAGCTTTGAGGCACACCTACCAGCTCAAGAGAAACAGCTTGGCCACAGCAATTAATTAGAATAGAATAGAATAGAATAGATTCTTTATTGTCATTACACAAGTGCAACATTGCACAAAGTGCAACGAAATTGGATGCCATCCCTTAAAACAACAAAAGCAAAACAACAACAACAACCAAACAAACCACATTCCAGCCACACCCACACCAACACCCATCAAACTCCCAGGTCACACTATCGAGTTACAGCATTCAAAAAGGCCACAGCTCTTGGATAGAAACTGTTTTTCAGTCTATTTGTCTTTGACTTGATGTTTCTATATCTCCTGCCAGAAGGCAGTAGTGCAAACAGACTGTGTCCCGGGTGAGATGAATCCTGCAGGATGTTATTTGCTTTCCTAAGACAACGGGAACCGTACAGTTCTTCCAAAGATGGGAGAGGATGACCAATAATCCTTTGGGCTGTGGTTATGACCTTCTGGAGCACCTTCCTCTCCCTAGCTGTACAACTGGAGAACCAAGCACAAATACAGTATGTAAGAATGCTCTCTATGGAGCCTCGGTAGAAGGACACCAGCAGTCTCTCACTCAGATTGTTCTTCTTTAAAAGTCTGAGGAAATAAATTCTCTGCAGGGCCTTCTTCACCAGAGCAGTGGTATGTGCGCTCCAAGTCATGCCCTGATCGATAGTTACTCCCAAAAACCTGAATTCCGCCACCCTCTCCACCCGTTCCCCGTTGATATACAAGGGCTGAATGTCCGCCTTTTTTTTTCTGTAATCCACCACCAATTCCTTGGTCTTAGCCGTATTAAGAGCCAGATTATTTGTACTCTAAAGAAATGTGTGCTTTTAAAGTCTCCTAAAATCTCTGACAAGTCAAGATTTAAGGACTGAGAGGAAGGCAGATGTAGGAAGAAGACCAATAAAGAATGAAAGATGCACACATTTTCTGTTGCCATAAAGGGGAAAGGCCTTTTCTCTTGAATTTTTAGGCATTTCAACACACAGCACTCCCTGGAAGAGGAAAATGCAGCGAGGCGTTATTGCCACCTCCACAGCCAGATCTGAAACTCTTGCTGCCTTCATAACAAAAGAGGATGAAGCGTTGATCTCACCTTCAGCTCCCTCTTCCGGTTCCGGTCGCTGTTGGATTTGGAGTGCCGGGAGCTCCGGCCTTCCTCCACGGCCTCAAAGAGCTTGTCCACAAACCGCAGAGTGGAGTCATCCAGAAAAGGCTTCAGGTGATCTGTGGGGGTGGAAGAGCGAGGTAGGGGAAAGAGAGCTATGCAATCTGGGCCACGACTGCACTTTTCATTTAAAGCACTATTACACCGTTTTACACAGCCATGACTTCCTTATCCCCAAAGAATCCTGGGAACTGTAGTTTATAAGATATGCTGACAGTTGTTAGAATAAATGCCCTATTGCTGTCACAGAGTTACGATTCCCACAGTGGTTTAACAATCAATTCCTCTTCCCAGAGAACTCTGGGAACTGAAGCTCTGAGGGAAATGGGCAGGACTCCTCCTGACAACTTTCAGCACCCTTTATAAACTACAATTCCCAGAATTATTTGGGGAAAGCTGCGACTGTTAAAGTGGTGCAAAACTGCTTTAGCTGCACAGTGCGGGTGTGTCCCTGGAAGCAACTGCATGCAAATATAAAGAACTCCACCTGCAACAATATTGCTTTTTATTCATTTGTTAGCTGCACCATAAGGAAGCTTACAATTTGCATATTGGGCTGGATGGACAGTGCATATTGGGCTGGATGGACAATCGCTCTGTCCAGCGGTACCTTGGTTTACGAACTTAATCCGTTCCGGATGTCTGTTCTTAAACCAAAGCGTGCTTTCCCATAGCAGCGGGGGACTCAATTTACAAATGGAACACACTCAACAGGAAGCGGAACATGTTCTGCTTCCAAGGCAAAGTTCACAAACCAAAACACCTACTTCCAGGTTTGCAGCGTTCTTAATCCAAGTTGTTCATAAACTAAGCTGTTCTTAAACCAAGAAACCACTGTATGTTCATATAGATGAGTTACTAAAGCGTGAAGTATTCTGGGATTGGTTGGCAAGGATAAAATCAGAATTTAACAAGCTACAGAGGAACTCAATTCTCTGCCCCCAGGCTGACCTCAGGAGATGGCTCCAAGGACCTACCGGCAGCTTTCTTCTTGTCCATCCCCTTCCCAACGCAGTTCAAGGCGGCAGTGACCACGGTGGGTTCCGAGAAGCCAAGGACTCGCTTCACGGTCTTCTCCACCCATGGCTTCAGCTCGTCCAGCTCCCGCTTGGAGAGCGCCATCTTCAGGAGAGTCTGAGTAGGCCGGGAAAGGAAAGCACATCTTGAAAAAGCTGTCACGAAGTGCTCAAAAACCAGTCACACTCACACTAGAAAGAATGTGTGCTCCTTTTATGTATCTTTGTACACACACACTAGGCATCATCATGTCTACAGCCATCAACAAAGGAGGCATGTAATTCCTAAGCAGCATTACTTTGGGTTGTGTTCAACATTAGCCATACTAATTAGACTCATTGATGTTAATGGGCACAATTAACTGAGGACCATCAATTTCAGTAGGTCTACTCTGAGAATAGGGACACGGGTGGCGTTGTGGTCTAAACCACTGAGCCTAGGGCTTGCCAATCAGAAGGTCGGCGGTTCAAATCCCCGCGACGGGGTGAGCTCCCGTTGTTCGGTCCCAGCTCCTAGCACATCAAGTTCGAAAGCACATCAGTTTGAAAGCACATCAAGTGCAAGTAGATAAATAGGTACCGCTCCGGTGGGAAGGTAAACGACGTTTCCATGCACTGCTCTGGTTCGCCAGAAGCAGCTTAGTCATGCTGGCCACATGACCCGGAAGCTGTCTGCGGACAAACTCCGGCTCTCTTGGCCTATAGAGCGAGATGAGCGCCGCAACCCCAGAGTCGTCCGTGACTGGACCTAATGGTCAGGGGTACCTTTACCTTTACTCTGAGTATAGCTTAGCTGGGTATAAACCAGCGTAACTTTCTCATAACCTGTTAGGCTGCCTCTTCCCTCACTGTCCGCCAATGGTAGGGGGGGGGGATCCTCTTCTTCCCAGCCCAAAATCCACTTCCTACTTATTGAGCGACACCTAAGAATACTCCAGACTCCAATGAGATTGAACATTGCCATTTGCTACCAGATCATACTGAACAACAGAACAAATAAACTGTCTTTGTAATATCTTATTTTAGGCTTAAGATATCAGATTAGTGGTCAGATCTCTCCAGGGTTTTATCTAGCTGGGGTCCAGAGAACCACACAACCGGTTCTGAATGCCCAATGGAGCCTTTGGCTTGCCTTTCTTCAATGGAAGCACCCCCACCTTACCCCACCCTCTGTACTGTACAGCAAGAAGCTTTTCGAACTGGACGACTATCTATCTATCTATCTATCTATCTATCTATCTATCTATCCGCCCTGCCAGCAGCTCCGCCTTGATCTCTCCCTCCCGCCTCGGGGAAGGAAAGGAAGAAGCCAGAGATCCAGTTGCAGGCAGCGCGCTCGCGCTCTTTCGCCTTTGCGCTATGCAATGGCACCCCGAGATGGGGGGGGGCAGGGGAATTAGCCAAGGAAAATGAGAGTGCACAAGGCATGTTGATGCTTTGCTGTCAGAGCTCTCTCTCTTTTTCTCTTTCTCTCTCCCCACACACACACATTTTATTTACAGCCCCATGCCGTGTATGTTTACTCAGAAGCCAGCCTCACTTTCTTCGACAGGAGTTTCAAGTAAATGCACATAGGATTGCAGCAATCGTCTCATTAGGGCTCATTATTTGTAACAACTTTGTTTCCTAGTTCTGCTGGATCTCTCAGCGGCCTTTGATACAATCGACCATAACATCCTTCTGGACCGTCTACATTATTACAAAAAACAGTAATAATTGAATGCAGTGACAATAATTTATGATAATAAAGAGTGGACACATAGTCCTACAGATACAACCGGCCCTTTGAGGGTGACCAAACTGCTGATGCGGCCCCCGATGAATTTGAGTTTGACACCCCTGCTGTAAAATATGATAACCTGGTTGCCAGGTCTTTCTGTGGTTCTGTTGGGTGAAGTTTTAGAGATGTAGGTGTTCAAATATCTGATCAGCTGTGTAGCCTCAGATGTAGATCTATATGCATCTATGCATGCTATGTCCATGGAATGTTGATAGGACTTCTCCCCTTGAGGCACTATTTTACAACTTGCCTCTCTCTTGGTGGACCTTGGGAGCTCTACCAAAAACACAAACTAGATCCCCACCTATCTGACATCTGCAAGCCTCAGCTTTAGAGCATAACACAGGCTGGGGTCCAGAAAACAGAGGGTCCCTACCCAAGAAGGGGCCTGCAACATAAATGGGAATATGCAGGAGACAACAGGGTGAGGGTGCCTTTATTTTACTGGAAGCCTGCACGTAATTCCCTATAGAAATACATATTATTAAATGCAGTCACAGTGGCCTGTGAAATATTGTGCACAGTTCCAATTATGCCTGCTTAAAAAATGATACTACAGCACTGCAAAAGGTTCAAGCAAAAGGAAAGCAAACTGATCAGCGGAGAGCAAAAAGGCAGCTCCTCACCAATGAAAAAGGGCCGACATTCAGGACTTCCTGTCAATAGGTGTCTGGGAGGAAGAAGACATGACAGAAGATTATAAAATGATGCATGGTGAAGACGAAGTGAAGGGGAGGTTTTTTCTCCCTATCTCATGGTACAATGCCTCAAACTCATTGGAAATTCATTCATCACTGGGAGAAGAAAGTATTTCTGCACACAGCACAATTTTTAGAAAGGAATTCATTGCCACAAGACACAGTTGTGCCTGATGTCCTTTTAGAAAAGAATTGGATGAATTCACAAGAGGAAAAGAAGGCAGCCATAAGAAACAGAACCTCCATGTTCAAAGGGAGCATATCTGAAAACACAGCGCTGGAGACAAACAACTGGAGGAGACTACTCCTTCCTTACTTCTCTGCTTGTGAACTTCACAACAGAGAATTTAGCTGGCTGCTTTTTTCTTTTCCTGGATGGGTCCCTCAGGAGCTAGCATGCAGGAGAAGTTGGAGGAATCTCAATGTGGAAAGGCAATTTATCTCTGAGGACCAATGACTTGCGAGGTTTCCAGAGGTCTCTAGACTGTTTCTTTTTGTGTGATTCAGCCAGGCTCTTCTCTTATTCAACTCTTTGTCTGACAGAGCAGGCCCATAAATTGGACTGCCTGTTAGCTTCCTTCCCTAATCTAGTCTGCATAACTACAATAGTTTCTTTACAATTGGCTTGTTTTTGTTTTATTATGTATTCTGTGTTCTCATTCCGTATTTTTATGTTGTGAACCACCCTGTGATCTTTGGATGAAGGCAGTATAAAAATTTAGTAAACAACAACAATAAATACAATAGCACAATGGAACATCCATGTTCAGAAGCAGCATGCCTCTGAATGCCAGAATATGAAAACAAGCCATGAAAAGGGGAAAAAATAATAATAATCAGGCTGACAAGGGATGGCAGAGGAAGGAGAAAAATGTTTCACTCTTCAGGGAGTCTACTGGTTCTCTATGCTAGGCATAGTTGGTCTTGCGCTCAGGATCCGCTTGCTATGGGACTTCCTGTTGAGGCATCCGGTTGGCCACTGTGAGAGCCGGATACAGGACTAAATGGGGGGGGGGCCTCTGGCCTGATCTAGTAAAGGTAAAGTTGAAGGGACCCCTGACCATTAGGTCCAGTCATGGCCGACTCTGGGGTTGCAGCGCTCATCTCGCTTTATTGGCCGAGGGAGCCGGCGTACAGCTTCCGGGTCATGTGGCCAGCAGGACTAAGCCACTTCTGGCGAACCAGAGCAGCGCAGGGAAACGCTGTTTACCTTCCTGCCGGAGCGGTACCTATTTATCTACTTGCACTTGATGTGCTTTCGAACTGCTAGGTTGACAGGAGCAGGGACCGAGCAACGGGAGCTCACCCCGTCGCGGGGATTCGAACCGCCAACCTTCCGATCGGCAAGTCCTAGGCTCCGTGGTTTAACCCACAGCGCCACCCGCGTCCCGGCCTGATCTAGTAGGGTCCTTCAAATGCTGTTATGGAGCTTCCAGGCCCAGTGGCACTCCATTTCACCTCCTAAGGTTCTTGGGGTTATTTGACCTCTGTGAGAACAGGAGGCTGGGCTTGATAAAAAAAACCAAAGCTTTGGCCCGATCCAGCAGAAGGGCTCGTCTGACGTTCTTAGGACCTCAGGATCCACCCAGCAGGGGTTCTCTTGAAAGGAGCCACTGCAAACGGGGACGGAGCCTCCACTTACCAGAGCAGTCTACCTGCACAGAGTCCCAAAATGCTGGGGAAGAAAGGAGGACTTCCTGCCGCCTTCAGGACCTGCTTGTGGGGCTCCCAGGAGCGAGCCTGGCAAGCCCACCTCGGCCTGACCCACAGACCCCCAAAAGAGCATCCCCTCCCCCTTCCTGAGAGGGGGAGAGGAGGCCCCCCAACCCCTCCCCCAACGAGGAAAGGCCACGCCCCCTGCCGGCCCCCAAATCCCCTCAAGCGGCCCCCTGCCGGCCCGTCTCCTTCCTCGCCCTCCTCTCCCTGCCCTTCACTCACCGGGCGGCGGAGGGGCGGCCCTCCCTCTTCCTCGTCCTCCTCGGCCAGGCAAGGGAAAAGGCCGCGCCACAGAACTCCCACGGACGGAGACGGAACGTCGTCGGCGCGCTCGGGCCGGAAGCGGAAGGCGTGCTCGGGAAACGGAAGTGGCCCCGAACCATAGAGGTGCCGGGCTTCTCCCTCCCCGCCGTTCTCTCGCGCTTCGAAAGTCTTACGGAGAGTCTCCACGTTTGGAGGCGGGACTTCCGGGTGGGCCGCCTCCGACGCCATTTTGTCTCTGGTGGCGGCGGGGGCAGCCCGTTGGTAACCATGGCGACGGCTAAGCCCTCAACCGCCCATCTCTCCCCGCTGATTTCTATCGCTGTGTGATACCAAAAAAAAAGCCATTATAAAACCCGGAGGCGTTTAAAATTACGTTATAAGCCAATAAGGCGGCTGCATGTTTAAAACAACCCTGCGGTGCTGTAGGCCGCCGCCAACCCTGTGTGTTTTGCATAGCGAATTGCGCACAACAGCCCTGCCGTGTAGGCCGCTGATCCTGAATTGCAAACCATGCTGGATGACTGCAGTTCATACACTGGGTTCCTTTGGGAGGAAGGGTGGGATATATATTGAATAAATAAAATGACAACAATGGATTGCCTTGATTGATCCTATATTGTAAATGGGGGCTTACGACAGCCCCGTCATGGAATCGCAAGCCCTGCAGTGTAGGCTAAAAAAAACATTGTCGAGATGGCACTAGACTCCACTTGCCCAGATTTGGCAAAGGTTGCTGTGATTTATGCTGCCTGGGACGCTGCTTCACACCCAGTGGGATTGCTAATGATAACAATAAATTTTTGTTATTTGTATGCCGCCCATCTGACTGGGCAGCTCCCAGCAGAATAGTGAAGCAGCGAACATTAAAAACTTCCCTAAACAGGGCTGCCATCTGATGTCTTTGGAAAGTCAGGTACAATGAGTCGGGTTACATACGCTTCAGGTTACATACGCTTCAGGTTACAGACTCCGCTAACCCAGAAATAGTACTGTGGGTTAAGAACTTTGCTTCAGGATGAGAACAGAAATTGCGCGTCAGCACGGCATCAGCAGGAGGCCCCATTAATTAAAGTGGTGCTTCAGGTTAAGAACAGTTTCAGGTTAAGAATGGACCTCCAGAACAAATTAAGTATGTAACCAGAGGTACCACTTGTAGTTGCTGCCACCATTCAGGCATCCTGGAGTCAAATATATAGCACCACCTCTACAATCACATCCCAGGTGCTCTCTCCAGATCCAGCCCTGGCGCTCCTCTCCCCTAGAGTGCAGCATTAACCCATCCATTTTGCAGCGATCTTTTTGTGCTTCTCACTGCAGTAGGGTGGCTTCCCACTAAAAGTCCAACTCACTCACTTCACAGGAGGAATGGCTAGGGAAGGGAAGGGAAGGGGACATTTGACGCCCCAAAAGAGTGTTTTTAATGGTTTGTCTAAAATAGAACATGGCAGAAGATCTTATGTTAAACCAGATGCACAGCCCACTAGTTCCCCATTTTGTGGATAAACGTGGAGGTTTTATTAATAACTAAATTAACTCTCTTTCTTCTCTTTATATACAATTGCTGTTTCAAGCTGCATTGCACTTTGTTCTGCAGTTTTCCCCACCCTTTCTTCGATATTCTTGTTTGCACCATCATTTTTACTGCATTCTGTATTTGCTTATGTCTGTAACCCTTCTATTATGAAAAATGACCAAAAAAATATTTTTCTTTTCTTTTTTTAAAGTAGGCCACTGAACATTTCATGAGCAAGTCATAGTTCAGTGGAAAAGAACCTGTTCTGCATGCAGAGGATGCCAGGTTCATGTCTCAGCATCTCCAGGTAGGGCTAGAAAAAAAGACTTGTCTGAAACCTCCGAGAGTTGCTTCCAGAGCACACAAACGTCTGCTAGCTTGATCAAAGCTCTGATTCTGCATAAGGCTACTGTGTGTGTGTGTGTGTGTGTGTGTGTGTGTGTGTGTCTGTCTGCAGCATGGGGGTGGGGGAGGTAAAGAGACCATGACTTGCAAAAACCCTATAATGTAGTCCTGGCAATATCAGAGGTGGGAGGTGGGCCCAGGCCAAGAATGGCTAACAACTACTCTGGAGAATAGGCTACTGTAATTATCCTGGAAGTGGCTATAAAGAGACAATTTAAAGCACCCTTGGAGTGTAGCCTACTTTTGCTAAGCGCTGTTATGCAACAACACCTTTGTGCAATAAATCAGGGGTGTTGAACAGTGTGGTGCAAGTTATACACCTGCTCCCTGCCCCCAAACCCAGTCAATTATAGACAGTATTACGCTAGATGGACCAAGAGTCTGGCTCAGCAGAAAGCAGCTTCCTCTGTTCCACTTCCAACAACGGGGAAACCCAGGCAGATGGGCAGGGTATAAATAATATATTACTACTACTACATCCTTTCATGCTGTACATCTTTCCTTTACATTTTCTCTACTTTACCACGTTGAGTATTTCTTACTTTAGCCCTTATCCAGACAAGAGCACCTCAAAATTGCTTTAAAAACTGATTGTTTTATTGGCCTCTGAAAGAGAAGTCCATTAAAATGGCCAGAAGCTGGACATAAGCCAAGTCAATAAGCAAAGCTACAATGAGAGTGTCTGTCAACTGTCGAGGGAGAAGCCTCTTTTTATTTTTTAAAATGTTTACCCAAGAAAGCAAACATACCAGCATGTAGAACTGTATGCAACAAAGTCTCTGCCTCATGTATTAGTTCTCCCAGCAAAGGGCCGATCCTCCCCATAATTCTGAAGCGTTCAACAACCCAAGTCAACACCTCCTGATTGGGATGGACTGCCCAGCGACTTTTGCTTAACACACAAGATATCAAACGGTAACACACTAGTGAAGTTTGTTGCTGACAAACAATATAGAATGTTGATTTTTTTTATAAAAAAAAGATAACATAAAAATATTTTCAAACAAAAAAAATGGGGAGTCAGTCTTTCAGAGATTCCACTGAAGTGGATGGGGGGGGTGTTAGCTTTGCTCAGAAAAGTCATAAACAGCTCATCTAGGTTTTGCAGCAGTTACTATGATTGGATGTGCATTCCAAGCTCAGCAACCGAGCCAGGGGTCTGAGCGGTTCTTCCGCATGAGGAAGTTGATCTTTCGAGCCATTTCCGTGTTATAGATTCTCCGGCACGTCTCATACGCCTCCCGCTGCCTCTTGCGGCAGGGCTTCTCGTAATACCGTTGGCGCTTGCTCTTGTCAATGATCCCGTCCATAGTTAGGACCCTGAGCAGAGAACAAAAAGAAGAACAGGGTCAAATTCTTGTCAGATGAGGCCAGAATCAGGATAGCAACCCACCATCTTCCTCTGTGCCAAATACAGAAAAGCTGATAGCTGCCAGCTGTATCCAACTCCCACTCTAAAAATACAGAACTAAAATAACCACCACCCTCCTCCTCCTCCTCTTTTTTTATGCTGAAGCACTTTAGAGGAAATGCCATAAAAACACGATGATCGTGCTGAAGACACACCTTTTCACCCCAGCCTTTGACACTTGAGATATGTATTTTCAGGACCCACCCTATTTCCGTGACTGTAATTTGTTTGAACAGCTTGTAGTGTTGAATTTTAAATTGTTGGATCCCACCCTGGGACCTGATGGTGAAGGGCGGGTGATAAACTGAATCTTTAATCATCATCATCATCATGACTTGCAAAGTATCTAGGCCACCAAAAAATCTCTAATATCAATTAGGGCTATCATAATTTTGCCAAAAGGACATCTTATTGGGGCAAGGGTCCCCCCTCCATCCTGGTTCCAAACCTGAGATTCAGGCAAGGCGATCTAGGGACTCGCAGGAAGGCTCTAAAATAAAATAAAAACAGCCCCCACCCAAAAAAGCTGGAGACCCAATGCATTGCAATAGGCTGGTGGCTTGGAAGGAGAATTAGGAGGTGAGACAGCAATTATGGAAAGCCATATACAGTACTTAACACCTTTGTAGCTAACCGATCCTGAGAGGTTGACAAATGGAAGCTGGATAGTGGCTCAGAGAGAGCCCTCCAGATTCGAATCTCACTTAGCCAGCAAGTCATTCCCCTGTCACAAAATCAGCTCTCTCTGCTTTGCAGGATGAGGATATCAGCCTACCTTACAGGGCTGTAAGGTAGCTGAGACCAAGAGATTTGCCAATTATTGCATGGACCCATGAGACTCCAAAAACTATTCAACGGCAATTCTCCCAGGCATGAATTGTAAGATGAAATCTGCAATTTATTTCTGCGCAACAGAAGCAGCAGCCCAGATAGCTTTAAAAACAAAACAAAAGAAAAATATAAATGCCAATTTTCTCTTTATGAGAGTTTAAAAACAATTCTGGCTTGCTCTGCCTCGTTTTGCATTCACATGGCCTGGGAGTGCCAGCCTGTCAGGGTTGGATGAAAAATAATCCTGAATGAGCTCCAAGCTCCGCCCACCAGCACCCGGCAGCCAATGAGAGGGAGCTCGGTGGCCCCCTCCACCCAGCGGGCCAGCCAATCCCGAGGCCAGAGGTTTCTCAGAATGGGCTTATGCAACCTCGTGCACATCCTTGCTCCTAGTCTCATGGGCTGGGACTGTGAGGGAAGACACATGTTTGGCTAGCTGGCGACACAGGCATCTGAAGGGAACATGCAGAGGGCGCAGCAAAAAAAGCTACACACACACACACACTGGACCACAGCAACTGTACTTCTAGCTATTTTTAAACCCTTCAGTGGAAGCCTGAGAAAAATGCAGAGAGAGGCAGGCGAGCTATTGGAGGGGAAATCGCTTCCCCCGCAACCAGGAAGCAATTTGCTCCGACCCTGCAATTATCCCTGCTCTCTGAGGAAAGCTCCCTGATGCATCGCAGGTACCAGGGAGGTCAGGAACAATTGTTTTCTCAGCCTGCCAAGACGCTGCCGTGTCTGGTGTCCTTGCAACTTTCTGCCTTCTCCTTCCAGCAGAATGTGGTGGGCACCCATCCCCAACCAATTTGGACGTAAAGGCCTTTAGGTTTTATAGCCTATGCAATTCTGTCCATTGGACAATTTTGTTTTCGCAGCCGGCACATATATCATAACACAGGTATCTTCAACCTTTGAAGCTCAGGGTTCACTTTTAACCCAGACATGCACTTGGGGACTCGTTTCTTAATCTTTTACTAAATATTTGCATGGGTCAGGCAGTTGCAGGTCCACCAGCTGAAGACAGGTGTTGCAAAACATTCCTGCAGCCTCAAGCATCTAGTCCTTAGTCATTCCTGAGCCCTCTCATTCTCTCCCTGTCTCACGCAAACCTCCTTGCATTTGCATGCAATCGAAGAACAGAGGAAGCTGCCTTATGCAGTAAATCTCTCTCAAAAACAGGTAATATTTCATGCGAACAGGGCATAGCCCATCTCCCCATCACAGACCCACAGCTGGTATCAGACACTAACCAAGAAGAAAAATGCTTTTGGGTTACCATGCCATGGGCACCCATTTTTGCTGAATGGTCACCCACCCTCCACATTTTAAGCAGACATTGCAAGACACGCACACACACACACACCAATAAAGTTCTGCAACCAAGTTAAGTACCACTTGAATCCTGTAAAGGCACACTTTGCAACTCAAAAGCCTAAACACTCATATAGCAGCAGGCACTGGTTCCGAAAAACAGAACTCAAGCTATTTGTATATATATATTTAAAGCATACAGCCTGAGCCCATCATTTAAAAAGTTCCATTTATGATATCCAGCCAGCAGAGGGCATGACAGCCACATGTTGACTAAAGCTTGCTTACAAGACAGCATTACAAGTCACGACTCTCCCTTTCTCCTGACGAAGGTTGCATAAAACCACCTAACTTGACAACACAAGTCGCCTACGTGCTTTTGCCCTAGCAGTCACACATGGCTGCTCAAAATACAACCAAGAAATAAAAGCAAAAGCTACTCATTCAACTCATAGAAACATTGTGAAAATGAACCATGGATGGTTAAGTCCAGTCGAATCTGACTTTGGAGTGTGGCGCTCATCTCACTTTCAGGCTGAGGGAGCTGGCATTTGTCCGCAGACAGTTTTCCGGGTCATATGGCCAGCATGACTAAACCGCTTCTGGTGCAACAGAACACTGTGACGAGTGCCAAAGCACACAGAAACGCCGTTTACCTTCCCACCACAGTGGTACCTATTCATCTACTCACTCTGGTATGCTTTCAAACTGCTAGGTTGGCAGGAGCTGGAGCAAAACAATGGGAGCTCACCCCATAGCGCAGATTCAAAACATTTCAACCAGTCCTGGGGCGCAGCAAGGTCAAAGGATGTCTTTACCTGTTGAGGACTCGATAGGCAGCCTCCACATTGCCATTGGGCACCATCACTGTCCGAGCGATGAATTTCAAGTGATTGGCCATCTTAGGTGTAGCTGTTTCTAACTCCAGGAACTGGAGGCCATCAGCTTCTGGCCCAAACAAGAGACTCTCCAAAAGATACCTTTTAAAAAATAAAATAAAAGGACACCTCACGTTTCCGAGCACAATTCAAAGTGTTGGTGCTGACCTTTAAAGCCCTAAACGGCCTCGGTCCAGTATATCTGAAGGAGCGTCTCCACCCCCATCGTTCAGCCCGGACACTGAGATCCAGCGCCGAGGGCCTTCTGGCGGTTCCCTCATTGCGAGAAGTAAGGTTACAGGGAACCAGGCAGAGGGCCTTCTCGGTAGTGGCTCCTGCCCTGTGGAACGCCCTCCCAGCAGATGTCAAAGCAATAAACAACTATTTTACTTTTAAAAGTCATCTGAAGGCAGCCCTCTTTAGGGAAGTTTTTAATGTTTGATGCTGTACTGTTTTTAATATTCAGTTGGAAGCCGCCCAGAGTGGCTGGGGAAACCCAGCCAGATGGGCGGGGTATAAATAATAAATTATTATTATTATTATAAACATAAATAAAATATATTGGGGGACTACTGTTAGTGCTAGATGTTCAAGAAAGTCCTGGTTCAAATCTCTCTGACCCCATCTGCAATATACATTTAAAGTTTTCATACCACTTTTTTGACAGGCATTGCTCCCCCCAAAGAATCCTGGGAACTGGACTTTGTTGTGGGGGCTGAGAGTTGTTAGGAGACCACCAGCACCCAGGTGTCCCTCTGCCTTCGGTCTCCCTTTTGTATTGTTTTTAAGCCTTCTTACAAATCTGGGGTTTCTTTGTATTGTTTTAAAAACTATCATAGCTGTTTTAATGACATGACTACGAATTGCTTCAAGATATACACGTAAAAGGCAATTCATGAATTCATACCTAAAACGATAATAATTCTAAGTGTCTTTTGTGGGTACACAGGCCTTTGGCTTTTTATTATCGGCTGCCTCCTTCAGTGGGTGGTATTTTTTAGTCCTGCCTTTAGAAAAATAAGAATGAATTTTCTCTGTTTTTATGCTGGTGTTAAATGCCTGTGTTATTTATTTATTGCTGTAAGTCACTTTGAGATACTTAAAAAGAAAAAAAGGCAATACATGTGATAAACAACAAAATTCAATAAATTATTATAATAATAAATGTACCAAAGTAATCATTTCTCATTTGTCTGTCCAGTTGGCAGATCTCAAAGTAGATCCATGCAGAGTGCTGAAACTCTAGTCACCATTTCTTAAAAAAGAAAATGCTGGCTTTTCCTGCTATTTTCTCAGTTCATTACCCAATTCTGAATTGTGAAAATCGGGATTTTATCCAATGCTAATTCCTACTCAGAGCAAACCCACTGAAGTTAAGAGACATGACTAACTTAGGTCCATTGATTCCAACAACAGGTCTACTCTGAGTAGAAATAAGCTGGAGACAACCCTCGGCTGTTTTCATTGCCCCTTCCAGGCTCTTTGGGGCCACCTAAACAAATTTACCTGACTATAATAAACAACATAAAATTATGTACGAAGGGGAGGATAATGAAGGGAGGCCCATTACACAAACCCCAGTTTGGAGGAAACTTTGGAGGGGTTTCTCCGTTTTTGGGGTGACCTTGGGCCAGTCACTCATCCCTCAACCTAATCTACCTCACAAGGTAAAACGGGAAAAGGGGGGTTTATGAATTTCCCCCACCTCGACCTCCCTCGGAGGAAAAGGTGGGGCATGAAATAAATCTCATTTCAACAAACGAAATAAAACGGGGAGCGCCCCAACTTCTCCCGTCAACTGCAAATAACAAAAACTAAGGGCAGCCCCCCTTCCCCCCTCAATGGGGAGGGTTAACCCCCCCCCCAAATAATAATTTCCACGACGACAGGGAGAGGAACGCTATCCTCCGAGGGAACCGCCACATTATTATTTTTCAGCCCGCCTCCCGCGCTGCCTCTCGGGGCAGCAGCTCCTAATAGAGGCCGGGGATGCGCGCGGCCTACGGCGGACCCGAAGGGAAGCGGGGCCAAGAGGGGCTTCCTCGCGCGCCCCCACCAAGGACTACACTCACCCGCCGCTGGAGTCAGGACGGAGCCGCAAACCGGAACCGGAAACGCGTGTTCTCCCCCCCTTCTCGCTTCTCCGGCCTGCGGCCTAGTCCTGGTCACCATGGCAACGGGAAGGCCTGCTGGGAGACGAGGAGGTCAAACTCCTGCGCTAAAGTTATCCTCTCCCGTTATCACCGAATAGGGACGGCCTCCTTACTGCTATTTTCGGGTTTCCCCCAATAAATAAATAATAATAGTTGTTGTGGTGGTTGTTTTGTTGTTGATGTTTTTTTTAAAAAAATGTTCTTGGTTTTCACAACTTTATAAACAAACAAACACATAAACAAACATAAATCATAGCCTTATTGAAAATTACACTTGTTAACATTGTTAAGTGACTTCCTCGCTTCCCCTTGCTTGAATTTCATTGCATGTCCTTTTAACGGTTTTCCAAAATCACGGTTCTTATAAAATTTAACTTAAACATTAACATCCTTAGATCTTCACATTATAAAATTAAACATTAATTCGACACTTAACATAAATAAAATCCTGAGCCAGTTAAGGATCCGCAAGCTGTTTTCAGTTCATTTAACTTAACATATTTAACCAAGTAATCATTAAATTTAATCCACTCTTCCTGATACTCCTCCTCCTGGTCGCGGACTCTTCCAGTTAGGTTGGCTAGCTCTGAAAAATCCATCATCTTTATCTGCCATTCTAGTTGTTGTATTCCTTCCTTCCTTCCTTCCTTCCTTCCTTCCTTCCTTCCTTCCTTCTTTCCTTGCTTGCTTGCTTGCTTGCTTCCTGCCTTCCCCGCCCATCTGGCTGGGTTTCTCCAGCCACTCTGGGCAGGTTCCAGCAAAATATTAAGATACAAAAATTCATCAAATATTAAAAGCTTTAGACTAGTAGTCTAAACATTTAAAAGGCCATATTGGAAATCACTATCCTGCCCCTACCTAAGAACATTGCATGATAAATAAAAGAGCCAGCAATGGCTCATGTTCAGAAAGAGGCCTTGTACAAATATATAAAGCAATAGCATAAGAGGGGGGGGAAGGAGGCAGAAAAAAACAACAACCCCATAGCAATAAAATGACTAATAACTCTATGAATAAACGAATTAAGCTCACTGCTGATTTATCAATAGCTTTCCCACTGCAAGCTTTTTTAAAAAAAAAAATCAGCCAATAGTCAATGCAAAACTATATGTAGAAATAAAAGCATTGAACTATCCGTAGCTTCTCAACTGCTAGGCAAATCTTTTATAACGCCGGTTAAAATCCACCAATCAATACAAACAAAAAAAACAATGCTTAATACATGTATAATATGTAAAGCACAGGTTTAAGCATTTATTATGTGTGCCTGCACTGGTTTTTTTATTGTTATGTATTGATGGGTTGATTGGAAAAAAATAAATAAATAAAGGCTTGCCTGGCAATTAATAACTTTTTTTTTTACAACAACAAAAATGTTTTGCACACAGGACTGAGACAGCAGCAGTAAAAGCCAACTTACCCTTGAAACAGAACTTTTTGTTGTTGTTTAGTCATTTAGTCGTGTCCGACTCTTCGTGATCCCCTGGACCAGAGCACGCCAGGCCCTCCTATCTTCCACTGCGTCCCCCAGTTTGGTCAAACTCATGTTGGTACCTTCGAGAACACTGTCCAACCATCTCGTTCAGAAAACAGAACTAGCATCATGCAAATTATTTTCTTCAGTCATTCAGGTATATTGACATGCATGGATTGGCTATTGCATTAGCAGCCAGGAGGGGGAGCTAGGACTTTACAGTACAGTCAGTACTTAATTCTGGTGTTCAGTGTATTCTGGTAAACCAATGGAGAGAGAAATCAACCCATCCGTAAAGGATGTCCCATTTCAAGGTGGATGTAGGGAAAGGAGGGAAATATTTAAGTGGGTCAAGGTGTGATGACAAGAAAGGGGGTTGTTAGTTTAAAAAAATGTATTAAACACACAAAATACCGTATATAGACAACGCAATACACAATATTCTTCTTCTTGCCTGACCTTCAACCTAAGCCCCCAGGGCAGGTTAATATTAAAATTGCATAATATCATAACCAGTTTCAAACAACTAAAAAGTGCCAACATTAAAATATATATCCCAAGCATCAAACGCCAGGGTAAAGAGGTGTGTATAAATTAATAAATTAATATAACAATACACTATTAAAAATAATAAATAATCTAAACTGCCTTAACCAAGGACAACCCTCATGGTGCTTTAATATTGTGGTTGCTATGGTTTTACATTCTTTGCATGCTTCTAACTTGGTTTAAAGCTGCCCAGAGACTGGTCTGTATCAGATGATTAAGAAACTGAACAAATGAATAGCACAATGCTGGCTGCAATTGTTAAGCTTCAGTCTTCACGTAGCACTGCCTAAGATATGACACACTTAATTATCCTTCCAGTGCAGCAGCAAGAAGGCATCAAATGATGATGATGATGATGATTTTTAAATACTTTTGGAACCATGGACTCAGCTACATTAGAAAAAGTGATTTGAATGCACTATAAACATGCACCACCAGATGGCACCAGAGAGCAGCAAATTTTACAACACAATTTTCCATAGAGATTTTTTTTCTTTTGTTCAAACGGTCTAATTTCTTACTTATTTCTAGCAGATCCCCCCCCCCGCCCCGTGCATCCACCCCCTGATGCATATTATGGGTGATATGATCTAGGGTCCTCGTGAGAGTACCCCAAATGGAAGAAACGTGTAGACATCTGTTGTCTGTAGGTGGAGCATCCCAGACCCTGAAATCTCAAGGCCCAAACTGGAGACCTAGGGTGGGACCCTGGTGATGTCAAGGGAATCCCCCCCCCCCAAGATGTCACAGGGATTGGCTCCACGGACAAGTTTATTAGAAGAGCGGAGCAGAGAAGTTTATTAGAAGAGCGGAGCAGAGAAGGGCAAACCCAGAGTGTGGGTGCTATAATTTGCACCCAACTCCTACAGTGCCCACCTGGACATTCAAGACCTCCAGATACCACCTGGAGACTTCAGGACAGACCTGGAGGTCTGGTAGGGGCATCTAGCTTGTCCCTGAGTGCCCCATACCCCTGTTGTTGTTTAGTCGTTTAGTCGTGTCCGACTCTTCATGACCCCCTGGACCAGAGCACGCCAGGCCCTCCTGTCTTCCACTGCCTCCCGCAGTTTGGCCAAACTCATGCTGGTAGCTTCGAGAACACTGTCCAACCATCTCATCCTCTGTCGTCCCCTTCTCCTTGTGCCCTCCATCTTTCCCAGCATCAGGGTCTTTTCCAGGGAGTCTTCTCTTCTTATGAGGTGGCCAAAGTCTTGGAGCCTCAGCTTCAGGATCTGTCCTTCCAGTGAGCACTCAGGGCTGATTTCCTTCAGAATGGAGAGGTTTGATCTTCTTGCAGTCCATGGGACTCTCAAGAGTCTCCTCCAGCACCAGAGTTCAAAAGCATCAACTCTTCGGCGATCAGCCTTCTTTATGGTCCAGCTCTCACTTCCATACATCACTACTGGGAAAACCATAGCTTTAACTATACATACATTGTTGGCAAGGTGATGTCTCTGCTTTTTAAGATGCTGTCTAGGTTTGTCATTACTTTTCTCCCAAGAAGCAGGCGTCTTTTAATTTCATGGCTGCTGTCACCATCTGCAGTGATCATGGAGCCCAAGAAAGTAAAATCTCTCACTGCCTCCATACCTCACTGCCCATACTCCTAGGTAATACTATAACACCTGAGAGCCAAAAAAAAAAAAAAAAAAGGCCTTATGGGGACAGGATGCGTTTCACACGCCTATCTCTGGGTCATAAGCCTTCTGGCAGAAAATGGAATTAGTACAATCTCTGAGGATTCCTCTGACACGCAAACCCACAGCCCAGAGGGACGAAAGCCAATCCCCTACTAAGGCCTCCATGCACTAATAGGTTCTGACAGAGGTGGGGGGCAGGGGGTGTAGAGACCTGGCTGTGATCCCATGATTGACCCGAACCATGAGTGGAGGTGATTGGCACAAAGCGCATTTGATGAGAATCGGTTTATTTCCCCCAAGACACACGGCACAAGCTGCCGGTCAGTTTTCTGGCGGAGGACTCTTTGGCCAAGGGGGGTCATTGTCAGGAGAAGTTAGTGCTTCTTTTTCTAAACCACACACATGGAGCCCTGTGTCCATACAAACACTTTACCCAATTTGCAAACCCTCTGAGTGTCCCTGTTTTCCCGGGACTGTCCCAGATTTACAGAAGCCGTCCCGGTTTTGATCCCAGAATGCCCCTCTTTTCCTTAGTGCACCCCTATATTCATCAGAGAAATGTTGGAGGGTATGGAATCATGCGATCCCCGAGCCAAGGAGATAAGTAACTATACAACCTTTAGAAGACATCTGAAGGCAACCCTGTACAGGGCAGTTTTTGAAAAAATGTTTAAAGCTTTATTATGTTTTTATATATGTTGGAAGCTGCCCAGAGTGGCTAGGGCAACCCAGTCGGATGGGTGGGGTAGAAATAATAAATTATTATGACTATTATTATTATGGAATAAAGATAAAGGGTAAAGGGACCCCTGA